ACTTTAAGAGCCCAACCCTATCATGTTAAAGTCTCCATATGTGAGCTACATATTACTCAGTCTCATTCAAACGAAAGTCTCTTCACCAAAGTCAGTAAATGGAACAGGAAAACCATCCTAGAAAACATGTAGATCCTGACATGGTACTCACCTCCTCCATAAGCACTGTGAGAAGAGCTGGGCACACACAGCTCTTCACACTTATCCTCTAACCCAGAATAAAACCCTTAATCAATACGGCATTTGCTCCTGGAAAATAACCAAATATGTGAGGCAGCAGTTTGGAGGCTGGAAGTCCCACCAGCATGGCCTAGATGCTTCCAAGGGCCCTGTGGCTGCATTTCATCATGGCAGGAGCTTTCTTTCATTCCTGGGTCTTTGGCCTACCCCCTACTTATACAGCCACTAGGATCCAATCATGGGGACTTCACCCTGATGACCTATCTAATGCAGCCACTTTTAAAAGGTCCTACCTCTGGACACCACAACCAGATTCAATCTCTACCTCTCCATACCACTGGTATAAGATTTGTGGTGTTAAACTGTATGATTTGGGGGCAATACATAAATTGAGGCCACAGCAACTTGTTTGCTGTGTCACTTTGCTAATTAGCAGTGAAAAGTGACACCCAAATAGGAAAGGTATAATTAAATTGGTATAAATATGTCTATATTACAGAGTGTACAATGTCCCAAGACCTTGTTCTTAGCCATATGTTATTTTAAACTCAGTTCTTCATGAATTGTATGTAATATTAATAAAATTGTGAATGATATTCAATATGATTTTTGTATGAATTCCATGTATAAGAAGCCTTTGCCCTATTGTAGCTGGTAAGCCAACATTTAAGATAAGAAACTTAATCTTTACATACAACCTTATCAATACAATCTCTTACTAATTGGTCCACAGAAAATAAGACTATGAATCATAGCTCATTGATTATTTTGTCATAAGTATAAGGCCTCACTCAACCTTGATTCCAGGTCCATTTCTCTGATTCTTGCCCTGAAATAACACTACCTATAAAATAACAGTGATGTCAGAATTTACTAATGTACATGAAAACACTGATCATTGACCTCATTCACAGAAAAATGAAATGTTTCCAATGAGGCTGAAGTCTAGAAGGCCATTATGCACACACAAGAAAGATAAAGTTCTTCTCTCCTGCAAAAGCTACCTTTAAGTTTGTGGGAATTCAGTCTATTCAAATCACTAGGAAATGTTAAAGTGTTAAAAAATTAAAATGTTAAAATTTTAATTCAAGATATGAAAATCTGGGCCTTATTTTCCTATATCTATGTCCTAATTATAGCTCTTAATTTCAGCATAAATACAAACAGAAAAAAATATAATGATCTGGCTTATGCAAATTATATTCCACTTTAAGTTTGATTAAAAGAATTAAGAGATGCTAGAGTATTATTTACTCAATAGTATGTTTTACTATTACATAAAATATTTAGTCAAGTGGAACACTGTGATGTCTGTCATTTAACAACAGGATAAAATACATGAGTGTTAACATATAAACAAATATTCAGTTATAAAGACATATTGAATACATAAGGTAAATATAGGTAAAAAATGCACTATAAATTGGGCATGATAGTCCATGCTTGTAATCTAAGCAAATTGGGAAACTGAGTAATTTCAGAAGTTTAAATTCAGCCTCAGCAACTTAGTGTGGTTTCAAGCAACTTAGCAAGACAGTCTCAAAATTTGAAAAAGTGGAGAGAGGGCTTAGGAATGTGGCTCAGTGTTTAAAAATCTCTAAATATAAATTGAAATACAAAAAAAAAGTACAGTTTAAAATGTTACAATTCAGTGTTAAACATCAAAAAATAGATTTTATATAGTTCTTTTCTACAGTATTAAAAAATGAAAATAGTACTTTTTGATTTAGAAAACAAAAATTATATGCTTTCAAAGATGAGGTTTCTGCACTATCCATGTATGATATTTATGACTGATATTTCTACCAAATAACTTGATAATGTTTAAAAAATTTAAGCAAAAGTTAAAGACAACTACTTATTTTCTATATTTAAATGAGTAATGTCTTTTACTGATCCTCATATACATCAAGGTGTAATGTTGCAGTCTTGGCTGGGCACAAGATCACGAGCCACTCACAGCTTTGTAGATTCAAACAGCAATTCTTTATTTCCGAACTCACACCAGCCTCCACACACGTTCAGGGGAAATCTAAAATCTGCCCGCACAATTCACGTCCCAAATACTTTCTCAATTCCACGAGAGCTCAACGGGAACTCAGGCAGCAGGAAAGCTCTATTCCCAGCAGCAATAAACTTAAACCTGAAACTTCCCTAAAACCACATTGTCTTAAACCGGGAATGCCTTAAACTTGTCTTAAACCGGGAACGCCCTAAACCCAAGGAGCTGGATACTTCCTCAAACCTGCAGGATACATCTTAAACCTGGATCCACCCTCGTCCTTGAGCAGGGTCACCTTTCTCAAACACACATGCAAGGTCACAGCGGATTTCCAAGGCAAGTCAATTTAACATGGGGTACACTGGCAAGGAAATTTTGATGTGTCATTCCTACTTGGCAATGGCCCTCAGCAGTGTAATGTATAGACAATGACTTTATTATACTCTCACATTTGTCAAAGTGTTTATTATAAATGTTTTATTTTTATATAAGGCATACATTTTGGACAAAATCTGTTCAATGTTCACTACTGGTATGAGTTTTCAGATGTTCAATGAATTTAAAATTTGAATAAGTTTTCAAAATATTATTTAACTATTTAGGGTTTCTGGGCACAATGAATTCTCCAAAAATCAGTAGTGTTTAAGAAACATGTGGTTATGAAATGATTTTCTTTTCCATTTGTATTCTCTCTAACCAGTATGTATCCACAGGTGCTGAGTATTGGTATTCACCAAAATTTATTCAAATTTTGAAGGCATTGTAACATTGTCACTTTTCACATTTTAAAACTTTTTCTCTTCTATGGTTATTGTGGTGAGGATTAAATGTTGACTCTTTCTTAAAGGAATGGTACGATGGTCTCATTTGTAAAGCTTCTCTCCAGTGTGTTTTCTCTGATGTCTAGTAATGTATGATATATAATTTAAAATGTTTTTACATTCTCTACATTTATATCTTCTTTCCAGAATAAGTAGCTTAGTGATGAAAAAGAATTGATTTCTTATTTAAAGCTTTGCTACATTGTTTTTATTTGTAGGGGTTCTTTCTGTTTAAATTCTGTTTTAAATGAAGTT